CATTTCCATTTCTTGTGTAGTCTGAGATATTGAGTAATTCGTCACTTGGGTGTACTCATCTGGTGCTCAGATGTTTGGGCTGATAACACAAAGAGCCATTAGCTGGGTTACTGGCTGATGGTTCAAGGGAGACTAACATGGAATGTCAGGAGGGGCAGGGGGAAACCAGGACTATAGGAGGCCATGGTCTCCTAGGGAAAGTAGCATTTCAAGAAGAAAGCAGTGGCTCAAAGCATCAAATGCCGCCGAGACATTCTAAGAGAAAGAGACTGATAAATACTGATTGGCTTAGGCAGCATCATCTTGCAGAAAGCTGCGAGGGAGGGAGTGCAGGGAAGAGCGAACCAGGCTGGTGTGAGTTAGGCAAGAGATGAAGATGGTGAGTACAGATAATCCAGTTGTGATCTTTGCCCTCGAAGTGAAGAGAAGTCCCGGAGATGTTTGCAGTGAGAGTCAAGGGAAAGATATCATAAGGGGAGGTTGATGGGCACATGTTCCCACCGTCAGGCAGACAGAGATGAGACGCCCTTGGGAGCCCTCATCGCTAGACAATAATGCTTATATGGCCAAGAATCCAAGTTCTGTGTGAATTTACAAATACATTCTTCAGGGATTAGTTTATATAAGTACATGCATGCGTTGGTATTCCCTTGATATTCTCCTGTGACCTCTGCAATACCGAAGACCATAAATATGGCATAGAGAATTGGGTGAATTTTTGACAATATCCTATTCAGAACCACTCAGCCTGAGTTGTGGTTAGCACTCACATAAAAGAAATGATTGTGCATTGCCTTTTTCTTTTCCTTTTTAGAAAAATATCATTGAATTTTCTCCATGTCTTTCATGTTGAGAACTATACAAATGCCAACAGCACCACACCCTCCAAATGTAAGGAAACAGGTTTTATTGCCATCCCCTGGAGCAGTTATCCATGAACAGCTGTTCTCCCTAAACACAGTCCTTTGATCCAAAAACCATTGCCAAATCCAGAGCAGAGTCTTAGTAGAGCCTGAATGAGAGAACCCAATGGTCTAGAGTCAATGCGAGGCCATCTAGTATGAAGAGACTCAAACCTGTGAATGAGCCACCTGTACCTAAATTTTGTGCCTCTTCAGTTTCCTCTTGGCCTTGAATGCAGAGTGGAATTTGCAGCACTAATCAAGTGTTGCTGGACAGGCTGACAATTGTAATTTAAAGCCATGAGCTCACTCTGCAATGTGTATTGCACTTACTGGCTTCAATATTTTCCATCCCTGATGTCTAAACAGTCTGTAAATACAAAGACTCTTTTTCCTACTGTTGATGCTTTGCTTCAGTGCACCTGCTTCAGAAACCCTGCACCTGTGTAGGCCAGGGATTACCCAAGGGAGCCTGCCTTGTAAAGCTGCCCCTGCTCCACCACGAAGCCACCCAGCCATCTGCTTGTGGGCTGAGCCTGAGCCCTGTTTGTGAGGGCTGTGCTGCCTGCATGCCTGACACTACGAACAAGCTACTCATCAACGGCAGTCATCTTAGCTGAATGAGCTGGCAAAGCAAAAATTGGACCCAAGCTCCTCACCAGGCCACAGTGAAAGCCAGCTTAGACTGCCAGCTGTAGCACAAAACAGTTTGCCAAGGTAAAAATAAATGACCCACGTCCACCGCCCAGCATCTGGCAGAAGCATCAATCTTCAGGAGTTGTATTGTTCCTGGAATGCCAGGTCCAGGAGCCAGTCTGCCAGATGTTGGGGTCTGGGGTCAAAACAACAAAGACCTTTTCTTCCTACCCAGATTTTGATCCAGTTTGAGAGCAGGAAACACAGGAGGCAGGCAGGTAGAGGCTGTGTCTTGCGTCTGTGGGCAGGCAGCAGCCTCACACTGAACTGGGATCCAGGAGCCTTCTCACCTGGCGGGCTAAACCCGAGCCTGGGTGGCCATCCCCTCACAGGAGCAGAGCTTTTGAGTGGCAAACTGGAGGCATCAGGACTGAAACAAAAAATGTGCTACCGGGAGACAGCTCTCTGCCAGAGGAACAAAAGAATTCAGCTGTAATTGTGCCAGTTTTCCCCTGAACACTTGCCAGTCTACCTCCTAACTCCTGCCCCAAGGGAAGTGTTGCAAGGGGTTCACCAGAGACCAGCCAGACAAGAATCTCAGGACTGAGGGGCCATTCTCCCTGAATAGCCCGACCCTTGCCTCAGCAGCTCCTTCCGCCATCATAGGAGGAGGTCAAATATTTGCTACAGAGAGGGAAGTCCTACTTAATTCCCACAGCTTAGTGCACATTGTCACAGTTGACAGCCCTATCATCACAACTGGACATGCTCTTCTTCAATCAGCATTTGCCAGGTGTCTTTGAGTGCCCAGAGCCATGTTAAGTCCTAAGAGATTACAAAGAAGATTAAAAATGGCCTGATTTGGCCCCCATCCTCTGGAGAGGGTGAGTGTTTTTGAAATTTAGAAAATAAGTTACTAAGTCATAGGCACCATAGGAAATTTGAGGCTGATACCTGTGAACCGCTGTTTGTTATGAACCCCATTGGCCCTTGGCAGCCTTCAGAATGATTCTGGGTTTCTGGATATCCTGTCTAAAGGAAAAGTGTGGTTCTGTCCTCCACATGTCCCTTTACAAGAGAGGAGAGTGGGGAAAATGACCTCATGTGCTCACCATCAGGCAGTTTCCCTTTGCAGCTGGGGGGAGGAATGCAGCTTGACCATAGTGGGATCTGCTCAAGGAAGTACATTTGTATGAGGGGGAAGGGTGGGGTTGACCTCACAGGCAGGACGTTACTCTGCTTCCCCTTCCTGTCCATGTTTCTCTCGTCAGTCAGAGTCATTGCTCAGCTTCCTGGGGTGGAGGGGTTGGAGACCTTGGACACTGAGTGTCCCACCTGTTGTCGCCAGCAAGCTAAGGGCAACAGTACTCATGCTGCTGTTGAACTTGAATTGGGTTTACATACACAGGCTCCTCTTCAGTGTATTCAGGAAGCAAAGCATCTGACGCAAAGATGGAGCCATTCTTTGTGGGGTGAAAGGGGCAGGACACTGCCCCTGACATATTGTGTCCTGCGCCAGAACATCACTGTCAAGGCACTGTGGGCATACTGAGAAGGCCTGGTGGGGAGCTAGGAGATGCTACCTGCCACCAGGGTGGTGTTGGGTTAATGACAAGCAGGCGGGTTTCATGGAGACCAGGCAACCTGGTGTGTGTGTGGGGAGGGGTGAGTGTGGCTAGACACCCAGCCCTGAGGTCCAGTGGAGGTTTCTGTGTGCCTTGAGTGAGCCTCTCCTGGAATCCCTAACTTCCCATTCCCAGCCTGTTGTATCCTCTACATTTGGACACAAAGTTCCAAAAAGATACAATTCCAGATTCCTGCCTCCTGCTCCTGTCCCCTGATGAGTGACACTGGCCCATGCCTTGAGATGGGTGCTGATCCCTGTCCTGGGTCCACTGCCCTGCTTTTTTGGAGGCGACTTCACCCCAGCAAGGAGTGACCCCAGGAGAAGGCAGGTTGGGCCTATCTTTGTGACTGTGTTCTTAGTTCTTTGTATGACAGCAGGCTGAGGTTGCTGGAGGCCTTTTGCCCTTTTCCCTAAAAGGTAAGTAGCATTGCTTGCATATAGCCATGGGATACTCTTCCCTGCACCTTTCAGCTTAGCTCAGCCAACTGTGGCACAAGAATCTGCCCGTGGGAAAAGGAAACACACTGTAAAAGGAAAGGAAAGGCACCCCACATGGAGGAGCAGGACTTATACCTCTCATCACGTGCTGCCCCCTGGCTCCCCATAATCAGGCACTATGGGTCCCACCCTGAGTTTCAAGTGTGGTGGAAAGAGAGCCAGCAGCTTCCTCCTTTTACACCATTTTAAATTTCCATTCTCCATTTCTGCTTTCCATCTATCTACAGTGATGCCAAAGTTTTTCTCATTTTGGAAAGGTCAAAATAAAAGAAAAAGTCAACCTAATAAGTATGTAAAATATATATTCTCAGAACACTTTTTTTAATAAACTTACCCTTTAAAAAAAGGTGATCAATTTTGGGAGGTTTGGAGAGTCTGCCTGTCTTCTGCAGAAGTAGTCTTGATCTTATTAAATTAAATAAGGTATAACTTGGGAAGGAAGAAAAAGGATGAAATCAGATATGGATTATACTGTGTAGTCATGAAAGTCATAATGACAGTAAGTATACAAAGCCTACAACTAATTCAGTCTTAGTCTTTACCACATAGGCTGAATGAAAATAGCATCCAGAGATACTAGGGATTCCAGAACTTTCTAGAACCACTTGCCCCTCCTACCACTTTAATGTGGTCAGAGATCTCTCACCAGTGCACACCTTGCATCCTGACCAGTAGGAGGCATCTGTGGACAGTGTGCCACGTGAATATTTCTCAGGTGCCACCTACTCAGGGTAAGGCCACTCCACCTACCTCAGCAGCAGAGGTAATTAGGCCATTGGAAGCAATTCATTTTTTAAAAGGCTTTGGGACTTTAAGTGGTTGTAAATTTTTACTACATCTCTTAACCAACTTTCTTCATCCTCAAAAGTCAGTATAACTCTTGAAGTGGACACGCAGAACATTAGTAATCCCTTTCATATAATACAAACAAATTCTGTGTATGTAGAAGAATATTTCTTTCTGGGGAAACTCCAGGGTCCAGCAGGAGAGAAAACAGGCTGAGAAAAGACAAACAGGCACACACTACATGCCACATGCACCCCTCACACACAGTCATCTCTGACTGTTGAGAATGAAGAATCAAAATAATCACTCATATGAAGGAGATTGATGCTTCATAAGATTAACCATTCTCTTCTGAATTGCCTCTCTCCCTAGCCCTCATTTTTATTTTTACTCCTGTCAGTTTTTTCTTCTCTCATCTCCCAAACTTTCCCTGGGCCTCCTAAGGGAGGTCTCACAACACCAGAGGATGAGGATGTGGGTGGAGGATGGAGGCAGGAGGAACTGCCCGGGCCTGTCTGCCTGGGTGGAGCACCTTCAAGGAGGACATACTTCTCCTGCCAGGGCAGCCTGACCTGGGAGCCCACCACCCCCCCAGCAGGACCACGGCTGCTGGGACCATGCTGTCAGCCACCATGGTGGGCACTCTGGTTAGAGGGTGGAGGAACCGAAGCTCCCCTCGAAGAGCTGAGTCAAAGCTTCCTGTCCCACAGAGACAAGGTGGAATCCGGATTCAGGGTAAGCTTGTGACACTATGATGGGACTGAATGACATTTTTCAGAAGGATTTGGGGGGGTGATTATAAGCTTACAAGCTAACCCCCCCAAAAAAACAGAATGGATAAATCTCGATTGTTTTCCTTCTTGGGTTATTATAAATTGTGACTAACTCACTTATGGGAGGTTTATTTTCTTCTGATCATCAAAGACTTAGTAGTCACACAGAAAAAGATAGCTAATTGTTCCTGCCTTTTACTTCAAAAGCTTGTATTTGAAGGTGGAATACTTCTTCGGTGGTATCTGTGTTTGACTAGTAAAATAGAAAAGGTGTTCTGGCTTTTAGGCTTTCAGTCTAAATCATGTGACTTCATTGCCTCTGGTAGGGGAAATGGCCAAAGTAGTTAGCGTCTGGGTTTCCCCACGAATTATTTTTATTTTCCTTTTTGTTACTATTGTTTTGAGGCAACAATAGAACTGTGACAGATATGTAGCTCTCTTACTGACTTGGTTCAAATGTTATTGTGGTCCTTTTCTGAAATATGATTTTATTAAAATAAAATACTTTTTGAAATCCCTGACCTCAATCTCTTCTGTTTACACCTTGGACTTCTTAGTGATACCTAGAGAACTCTTTGGTCTTGCTGATTGACCTGAGAGAAACACAGAGCCAGCTGAGGAAGCAAGTCTGTGCCCAGAAGTAACAAACTCCCAAGGGATTGTGGAGCTGTCTGGCTGCCCCTTGAAGTGCTTTTATCTGAGCCAGAGCGGAGAGAGTTTCCTAACCAGTAAATGTAACCTTTTCGTTCCAACAAATGTGTATTGAAAGCCAGTACTTTTTAGACATGTTTCTAGTTACTGATACTGTGCTCTATAGCTAACCTACTTTTAAGATATATCAACACTAAGAGCTATGATTTGTTTTGTTCTGGTAGTGACTTCCAGCCAGACTTCCATCCATACTTTTCAGGCTGACTGTGTTCAACAAGAATCAAGCCACAGGGCTGGAGGACGTTAGCTCAGTGGTAGAACACTTGCCTAGCATGTATGGGGCTCTGGGTTTGATCCCCAGCACTGAAAAAAAAGAAGAATCAAGCCAAGAAATTATTTAAAATATAAATATTCACTGCAAGAGAGTAAATTAATCATTTAACCAGGCTTCTCAAACATAGAAGACTGTTCTGTGTTCTAATCTGCCAGAGGATTATTAATGCTTTATAAATGCAGTAAAAAGTGTGACTCATACTATTTCAAAAATCAAGCACCTGATTCTTTGTTCACAAATGAGGAAAGAGCCCAGAGAAGCTGATTATTCTGTAGCTCAGGAACCATGGCCAGTGTAATGTCAGAGCAAGTCCTGGACTCCCATTTCTCAGAGTCTTAGTCCAGCGTTTTCTCTCCTATCCCATACCCTCCTGGCAGATGTGGTAAATTTCTATAACCGCATTCAGAACCTCACAAGATAACAAAGTAACCTGCTAACATGTAAGAGGTTTTTTAAATCAATACATAAAGATCTTTAATATTTTGGATACATAATTGTACATATTTGTAGGGTTGAGTGTGATATTTTAATACATGTGTACATGTGTAATGATGAGATCAGAGTAGTCATATCCATCTCCTCCAAATCTGTTATTTCTTTGTACTGGATTTTTTTTTTGTACTAGAATATTCAAAAATCCTCTCTATTAGCTATTTTGAAATGCTGTCAACCATACTTAACTTTATGCTACAGATCATTAGGTGTTATTACTCCTATCCACCTCTACTTCTGTACCCATTATGAGTTCTTTTTCACAGTTTTACTAAGATATAATTCACACTCTACACAATTTACCCATTTAAAGTGTGCAGTTCAATCATCTCTAATATATCACATTATTCATCTTGTAAGCTGTGACCAAATATACAGAAAACATAATTTGCTCTCTTAACCATTTTAAGTATACATTTCGGTAGCATTCATTATATGCACAATGTTGTTCAACCATCACTACTATTTCCAGAATGTTTCATTGTCTCAAGCAGAAATTCTGTAACCCTTAAGCAGTGACATCCCATTTGCCTCCCAACCAGCCTTTGATAACCTTGAATCTACTTTCTGTCTCTGAATTTGCCTATTCTAGATCATCTCATAAGGAGAATTATACAATATGTATCCTTTTCTGTCTGACCTTTTTCATTCAGCTTATTATTTTCAAGACATCCATAGTATATGGTAAAAGTTCATTGGCATGCATGGCTCGGGATGGTCTGCATATATTTAGTCATCCTTTAGCAGCTTCTGCAGGTTGGTTCCAGGATCCCTATGGATCCCAAAACCCTACTGTGCTCAGGTGCCTTATATAAAATGGCATGATATTTGCATATAATCTATGCACACCATCCTATATACTTTAAATCATCTCTAAATTCCTTGTAATACCTAATATAATATAAATGCTCTACAAATAACTATACTCTCTTGTTTAGGAAATAGACAAAAGTCTCCACATGTTCAATACAGATGTAAACATTTTTTCCAGATATTTTCAGATCACAGTTGATTGAATCTGTGATCTGGAACCTGCAGAAAAACATGCTCTTACTGTGCTTCAACTATTTCAAAAGGTGTGGATAGTATGCAAATGAGGTATGCAAACTGAAACCCGGGATGAGGATTAAATGTCATCTCAAGCTGTCTTTGCTGTAGATGATTTACTGACCCACTCTCCCAAATATTAAATCAAGAATAAACATTTGCAAATATTAAACCTCAACCAAGTTTTTCATTTTATAGAGTGAAATCCTGTTTATTTTAGTGTATGCATTTTTTCATAAATTCTATTTTCCTTCCTCTGGAAAGCCTCTTCCTGCTAGGCTCCCTGCCTCCTCTGAATACCTCAGTGGCTTGTGGGTTGAGTTGTTCATTTCAGCTCAGCATGTGCAGCTGGTTGTGTTTACTTTTCCATGGTCTCCCCTCTTTATCTAGCTGATGAGCCCAGTGAGATCTCCATGACACCGTCTAATCCTATCATTCCCAGTGTCTGTCCAGAGTTGGCATTCTGAATATCTGATAGCAGTGACGCCAGAAACACAAAATTCAAGATGTCATAAAGTCAGGAGCCTGGTTTTCATAGATGGCCTATGTAATCTCTCTTGATGCTTTGCGAGTCATACCAGGTACTTAAGGTGTTAAGGCTTTTTACATTTCAAAGACCTGGGACTATGATTGGCCCAAATATAAAATAATAATTTCTGCCCGTAGAGCTGTACATCCTGTAGTCAAAAAGAAAGCCCTTCCTTCCTCATTTCTCAGTGACAGCCTATAATCATGTTTGAGCAATTTTTGGAATTTTTTCTAAACCACCATTTGCTTCTTTCTGTCAGCTGGGAGGAGCTTTTTCTTGTGTTAGTGGAAGTGCTCTCCTTCTTTCCCAAGCCCAGCCACCCACCTAGTGGGAAGAGATGGTTGTAAATCTCGGCCAGTAATTAGGCTGGGAGAAAAGTCAGACGATGAAGTCAGCTAATCACCAAATTTTTATTGAGAACCTGGAAGTTTTAGGTAGCCATTAGAGAGAGTGTGACTGACCCACTATAATTCCTACCCAAACCCAATGTCCTTGTTCAGCTCCCACTGAGGTTTGAAGAACCAGGGTCCAGGGATGGCTCTGAGTTCCTGTCTAGCCAGCCCATGGCCTATTCCCTAATTTAGGCCTGGGAGCATTTTGAGGTAGCCTGGTTAGGGATCTGCAAATCCCAACTAGAACTTTCAGCCATACCTCAGGTATGGTCTAGCAACTTTAGGATGGATAAAATGGAGGCAGCAGGTGTGCAATTGACAGAAATTGGTGTTTGGGAGGCAGCCACTGTGCCACTGCGCTAAATCCCTGGCCCGTTGGTGTTTGGTTCGTTTATATACTAAAATAATTTTATCTTTATAAAGCAAAAACTGAATGTAATCCCATCTTTAATTAATGGTAATGAGTAAATACAACAGTAATTCTATAAAAGAATTTACTATATCTGTCACTTTTTTCCAGTGGAATTTAATAGAATCATTCTCTGACCTATACTTATTTTAATTAGTTTAACTTTAGCTGTATAACTCTGTTCTCGTATTTCCTCATAACTATATAATTACCATTTAGTAATAGCTCCTTATTTTAATTACAATAATCGTGGGGCTCAGATTCGATAAATATTCACTGAGCAGCTGCTATGTGTAAAACTAATGAGTGCTGTGGAAAGAAAAGAACTCTTAGGGTCTCTTCTTGACCTAATAAAAAGTGTTTGTGATCCAGAGAAAGCAAATGTAAAATAAATGCAGCAAATACAGTACAGATAAGCAAAGTTAAATAAGGGCTAAATGGACAACTGAGGAAGAAATGATTTGTTTTAAGAAAAGTGTATAGAGTTTTGCCAGCAAGTAAAATTTGAATTAGGCCTTCCAAACCAATGGGAGTATAGTACTTTTAACCCTGTAACTAAAGGAAATAGAAAGTAAATATTTCCAGGACAGGGATTTAGCTCAGTGGCACCACGCCTACCTTGCAAGTGCAAGGTGCTGAGTTTGATCCCTGGTACTGAAAAAGAAAAAAAAAGAAAGTAAATATTTCTGTCTTTCAGACTAAACAGTTGAATACTTCCAATCTTTTTTTTTTTTAACTCATCAGAGTTCAAAGTTAAACTGAATATTTGACATTAATTTAGGCATTTACGGTACACAGTATAAGCAAATGTAATGGCCCCAAATGCACTGGTGATTTCCATAATTAGAGGATTTGGGAAAGGCACCAGCATAAGCAAAGGTGGGGGAGTGTGAAAATCAAATGGCATCTGTGGAGAAGGTTGAATTGTCCAGTATGGCTGCATGTCCAGGGCAGAACCTAGAGGGCCTCAGTGCCGAGGTAAGGAGCTTGAACTTGATTTATAAACCTGAGGAGCTCTCCTGAGCTTTCCTGACTTAGCATCCTGCATCCAGAGTATTAAAAGATAGCTATGTAAAGAGATGGTTTGAGGGAGCAAGAGACTGGACCT